CTGACCTGAATCCTATTGAGATGCTGTGGCATGACCTTAAAAAGGCGGTTCATGCTCGAAAACCCTCCAATGTGGCTGAATTACAACAATTCTGCATAGATGAGTGGATCAAAATTCCTCCACAGCGCTGTAACAGACTCATTGCAAGTTATCGCAAATGCTTGATTGCAGTTGTTGCTGCTAAGGGTGGCCCAACCAGTTATTAGGTTTAGGGGGCAAACACTTCTTCACACAGGGCCATGTAGTTTTGGATTTTGTTTTCCCTTAATAATAAAAACCTTCATTTAAAAACTGCATGTTGTGTTCACTTGTGTTATCTTTGACTAATATTTAAATCGGTTTGATGATCTGAAACATTAAAGTGTGACAAACATGCAAAAAAATAAATCAGGAAGGGGGCCAACACTTTTTCACACCACTGTATATATATATATAACGCTGTTATTAAAAGAATGTAATTAAAAATGTTAATATTGTGTCAGGAAGATACTACATTCAAGCAATAAAATACACCCTGCCAGCTAGCTAACAGAATATTATGAGATTTAAGAATGCGAATGTGGAGATGTTTGCTCCTTTTAATGAAGACACTGACCTTTACGATAGGGCTCCAGAACCACATCTGACTGGACACACAGTCTTTTCAAAACAGCGACACCTTTGGGGTTCTTCAGATTCAAGGCCACTGATTGTTTGCCTCTTGCTTGAGTATCTACAGTCATTGACAACTTTGTCCGATCTATCCGGATCACTCTTGCACCGAAGTCCGCCAGTATCATCCCGCAGAAGGGCGCAGGGGCCAGTCCTGCGAGCTCTATTACACGCACTCCTGCCAGAGCCATAATGGAACCTGTTCACAAATAAACCTAAAGTATTACACGCCAAAGAAATTCTTTCAAATGATTACGTAGTGTAGGAGAGGTGGAAACGCATTAAAACATATATGTGCGATATATTACACAATGTGCGATGCTCGAAAAAAAGATATTAATAAAGCACCAGGCACAAACAAATAACAGTTGTTATTTAGGTCACAGTTCACTCCAGCTGTCCATTCCAAACTTATTATTAAACCGGTGAACGATCAGTATTGAGTATCACTAAATAACAACAATTGGTTATTTATGTTTTCTGTCCAAAACACGTGTGAGCAAACAACACTTGATAAAACTGTAGGAGTCATGACTTTGCAACAAAATAAACACTACATACCTTTTCAATTTTGCACTTCGAACCAAACTGCACGGCGCGTGTTTATGACGTATGCGCACAGGATTGTGGATGTTGTAGTTTTTAGGATCTCTCGCTCTCAATAAATAGATACATTTAAAATTATATAAATTTAAAATTGTAAATTGTATAACTGACAAATAAGCATAAAAGATAGAGTCAATTAATAAAAACCTTTTTGTGACTTTTCCATTGTGTGATTGGCTATTCTACTCATCAAGAGGGACATTATAAAGGCACTTTCATCCATTTTCATTTGTTTGGTTCTGGATTTGAATAAAACAATTTCAAGTATTATTTTGCTTAGAAAACAAAAGACAAGAGAAGAAGAGACCAATTCAGGATTGTTTCCTTTTCATTTGTTAAGAATGGGTCTGCTGAAGTGTAAATGTAACTTTTTGTAGGCTTAACTTTTGTAGATCATAATGATTTATGAGCACTCCATTTCTCACCACCATTATAGTCTGTCTCAGTGGGTAATGTATTTAGATATTCAGTATGTGCACATGAATGATATGGCTTTTTATTTCGTCATTTGTTTTCTTTAATCATTCTATTTAATTTCGTATTTCATATTCGGCTCTGAAAATGAAGGATTGATCCTTCACAAATATGGCATGCCTTAATACAGTTCCCAAATATTCTAGTCAGTCAGGAATTAATCATTCAAAAGGCGCTAAATAAGTGACAAACAGGATCAGATTTAAAACATTGCTTGGAAACAGCCTCGCTCAATATTCCATAAATAATTGATACTTGTAAGCCAGATTTGAACTGACAGGAAAATGTTCAGAGACTCACTGTAAATTCATTTCCCAACACTGTGCTACATTCATGCATGAGTTGACACCATAGGCTTCTCACAATAGCAGTCTCGCACAATATATCAATTAATTAATCAAATCAGTAGAGGAAAAGACACACAGCTCATAATATTGAATATACAGAGTTTCAGGGATTACAATTCTAAAGATGTTTTGAATGGTTTATGTATTGTGTGGGTAAACACTCAGCAGCAAGGTCAGTCTCATTGACCTTGATTCAAGGAAAAACACTTGCAGTGGCATATTTTCAACATTCATTTACATTACTTTGGGTTACATACAAATTCCAATGACTTAGAACTGCATTCGTTTTATGCTCCCCAGTTGCATCAGTTAAAGAGTCTTTGCAGCTGAGTCTCAGTTAGACCATATGGAAAACATATATGTATACTTATATACTTTATATACATACTTATACACTATGTATATATTTATGTACATATAAATAACATATAAAAACACTAATGCTGAAAAGTAAAAAAAAAAAAATAAAATCCTTATGGATCTGGAGGTCCAGTAACTACATGAAGGTATTACCTTCATGTAGTTACTGGACCTCCAGATCCATAAGGATTTTTTTTTTTTTTTTTTACTTTTCAGCATTAGTGTTTTTTAATATATAGGCCAATACGTATTTTATATGTACTTCTTTATTATTAAACAATAAGCCTAAAGCACTACCTGCATGATTTATTCATATTGCAGTGCATGCTGGCAGCTCACAAATCGGCAACATTCTACAGTATGCAATGTCTTGTTCAGGCCAATTGGAAAATCTGGGGAAATGTTGTTGGCCTAACATGTTGGTCTAACATTCTCTTTTCTTAGTATCTGTAAGTATTTCCTTATAACATTTGTGGATTATTGTGATGTTTTTTTTATCATCTGTTTAAACTCTCATTCTGACGGCACCCATTCACTGCAGAGGATCTGTTGGTGAGCAAGTGGTGTAATGCTAAATTTCTCCAAATCTGTTTAGATGAAGAAACAAACTCATCTACATCTTGGATGGCCTGAGGGTGAGTACATTTTCTGAAAATGTTTGGGTGAACTATTCCTTTAAAAGCCCATATCAAACATACAAACATGAAACCACTGTCTTTAGCTAAACAGTCCTAGTACATCATGACACTTTAATATACGGCATTTATTGTTCTACTGCAATTAATACTGTATAATAAATGGAGTTCTTATTGGAATCACCACTTTCTGTCTGAAGTGTTTCAGTTAAACGATTCAGAAACTGTTGTCACAATTAACAACTCCAATCTTATAAGGATAAAGTTTCAAATCAACACAGCCAAAGCAACATGACAGCAACTTTGCAGAGTCATTTTGAATTCATTGTCAGACTTCCAACAGTGTCGAGGCAATTAAAATCAACCTTATTCTCACTGAGAAGGCCTAGTTTTGCTTATAATTTCTTGTGGGTTCATGAAAGAAATTTGATTGCGCTTCAGATGAAAGGAGCTGACATGACTTGTCGCTGCCTAATGAACTGATGAAAGCGAGAAGTGCCCTCTCTTTGAGGACAGAAGAGACGCCAGCAGTCATTTAACTAATGTAAGTCTTATTTGAGTTGGTAAATTCAATGAATGCAGCTCGGCACAAAAGCATCTATTTGTGTTTGACATCTCTGACGTTTCACAGACAGAATGAATTGCTTTATAAGAATCTCATTCATTTGCTGCATGTCATTTTGATCACATTTCTCATAATGACATCAAACATCGGAAAACAGACAAGCTCTCTTAATTTTCATTATTGGAATCACCACTTTCTGTCTGAAGTGTTTCAGTTAAACGATTCAGAAACTGTTGTCACAATTAACAACTCCAATCTTATAAGGATAAAGTTTCAAATCAACACAGCCAAAGCAACATGACAGCAACTTTGCAGAGTCATTTTGAATTCATTGTCAGACTTCCAACAGTGTCGAGGCAATTAAAATCAACCTTATTCTCACTGAGAAGGCCTAGTTTTGCTTATAATTTCTTGTGGGTTCATGAAAGAAATTTGATTGCGCTTCAGATGAAAGGAGCTGACATGACTTGTCGCTGCCTAATGAACTGATGAAAGCGAGAAGTGCCCTCTCTTTGAGGACAGAAGAGACGCCAGCAGTCATTTAACTAATGTAAGTCTTATTTGAGTTGGTAAATTCAATGAATGCAGCTCGGCACAAAAGCATCTATTTGTGTTTGACATCTCTGACGTTTCACAGACACGCAAATTGCTTTATAAGAATCTCATTCATTTGCTGCATGTCATTTTGATCACATTTCTCATAATGACATCAAACATCGGAAAACAGACAAGCTCTCTTAATTTTCACTTTCTTTGAGTTTAGAAACTCAGTAATATAATCAGTGCAACAAAGCATTTCTCTTTGTCAGTGAGTAGAACAAATGCTCCAATAAGAAACTAAAGTTTCCTTTTTGAGATTAGCTCTATACACAAGTATTAAGTCAAAAAGATATTTTTAGCTAGTTTATCAGCTAGAAATATTTGTTTAGTTGCTTTTTTTGTAATAGATTGTCAAGGACAAGTGATAAAGCCTTCAAATTTGGCTAAAATGCTAAGGCAACATGTGAAGTTACTAACTTTTTGGAATAAGCTTCACATCACCTATGATGCCCTAAAAGGCTTTTTTAAAATTTTAGAACATAGTGCTTGTCATGCTTGCTTAGAAACAATGTATGTGGTTAAGTAGCACAGCAAAAAAGCGAAAAGGGAACAAAGGTTGTTCGTTTCCACAAAAAGGATTGACATTTTAGACATAATCCCCAAAGAGCCCTAAAATAATGCATTGCCATCTTTTGATTATGAAGTATGACATTTAAATCTATAGGTGTTTTTGTTCTGAAGCTAAGTACAAATCAAAGGCTATGATTACCAGTAAGACTGTGTACATATCAAAAGAATTATATAATCAATGGCAAACGGATGCCAAAATCATTGATGAAAAAAGAAAATGAATTCATCATATAGAGAATCAACATGGAATCTTTTGGATGCCACATCGTTCTTCAATACTGGTAATTGGATTCATTTTAAATGGCCAAGCAGAGAACAAGGAATCAATTGTTTCATATTCTTCCCAGCTACACTACACTGCATGTGCCAATTATGTGCAAGCAGGAACATTGCAAGGACACACAGAATAGCTGGTTTTCATAGAGATTACATACACACTTCAGTTTTACACATCACAACTGATATCTTGCCTGGCCTTTGTGTGCCATGTATTTTTTTTTTCAGTTATTCACAATATAAATAGTATAAAAAAGAAGAAGCCTGTCTTTCTTCCTGTCATTCTCTTATTTAAAATGCCAAGCAGAGAACAAGAAATCAATTGGTAAATCAATCAATCAATCTCTCTTTCTCTCTCGAACAAAGAGTATATTATACAAAATTTCAGTTTGATATAGTTAAGTTATTCTTTCATCATGACAATGCCTTTTTGGTCTGTCACATTGCTTTATTAAAAGAAAAAAATATGTTCATATATATAAGTATGACTTATGCAAATCTACGAGAGCTGCATGCTAACCAAAAATCAGTCTTGTAGAATGAATTAAAGATAAAAATGCACTTGCAAATTAGAAAACTTTGCAATCTGGAGTTGGGCATCACTGCCAGTTTGTAATTCAGTAAGAGTGTGTGGCTGACATTTACACATTCAGCCTGGGTTGTTTTGAAACTCATGTGGAAGCAGACGCTCCAGAAGACCTGGGAAGGGTTTGAGGAGGGGAAGGTTATACTGTCATTAGCTGTAAACATTCCCAATTAAGCAATCTGGGCTTTTGCAGTGATCTGTTTTATTAACCCCAAAAAATCTTTATTTGAGCAGAGGACCTTGAGGCTTTATTTTCGTTTTATCCTCACAGATCTTGCTCACATATCTTAGAGAGCTTTTAGCTGAAAATACGCGGCATAATCCAACATTCAGCATTCCCCAGCAGCGGTAGAATTTCAGAAACACAGATTCTGTATCAATTCTGCTCTATAAATGTCCTCAGCTATTCTCATTCATATGTATTTTCCATCAAAAATTGCACAGCTCCTTCGAATGATATAAATGTCTCAGGAGAGATCTTACTTTGTGTTTTTATGAAGAACCTTTCTGTGCATCTCAACTGCAGGATAGATACTTACATAAGAGGCTTAAAAGAAAATGCCATTGAATATGAAATGTAGGCTTTGATTAAGTAATACACTGGTGTAT